AAAAAAGTTCGCTTATTGAAATAAATCTACACCAGTTAGTACTTCGATTGCCAGGTAAAGGGAAAAGGCTCATTATCTGCCATATTGGCAGTGAGGATGGATTTGTTGTTGACTGTCTGTGGTGCTTTGAGTCTAAGAAAACTGGAGATTACCACGAGGAAATGAATGGCGAATCGTTTGAACAGTGGTTTTCAAAAATTTTACCGAGCTTAGAGGAAAACGCAGTAATTGTGTTGGATAATGCGCCTTATCATTCTCGAAGAATGGAGAAGGTCCCAACAACGGCTTCAAGGAAAGTTGATGTTCAAAATTGTCTCCGCTCGAAAAATATCAACTTTGAAGAAGCAATGCTGAAAGTACAATTATTAAGAATTGTCAAGGATCACAAGGCGGAATATCAAAAATACGCCATTGACGAAATGGCAGCAAGTCAAAATAAAACTGTGCTCCGTTTACCTCCATACCATTGCGAGCTCAATCCCATTGAGCTCATATGGGCAGAGGTTAAAAATTATATAGCTAAGCACAATACAACTTTTAAATTTTGTGACCTCAAAGGACTTTTCAAAGAAGCACTAGAATTAATAACAGCGCAAAAATGGGAAAACTGTATTAAGCACGTGAAAGACAAAGTTGAAAAGAGAATGTGGGAACTGGACAATATTTTAGAGGAACAAGTCGAGCCATTCATTATTGACGTTGGTGCTTCAGGCAGTAGCGATGATGAAAGCTCATCAAGCTCATCTTTCCAATAAAAGATGTCGTTCATCAAATTCGGTAAGTTATAAGTAATTATAAAGCTACTGTATTTTTTAATTAATTATTGACATTTTTTAACCCATTTTGGCAAAACCTATTCAAGAATCTACTTTCTGACAATGTTCAACCATGCACATTTTTTTACGTTTTGAACGTTTTAATTTGGTTACATATTTACCTAGAAATCAAAAAATATACTAATCAATATTCTAAAAGCAATTTTAAGAGATATACGATTATTTTTAATTTAGGCTAATTTAAACGCCATTTTGAGATTATATTCGACTGTATTTCACCAAACATCAGGCGGTATCCGAAGCTGGAAATCGAAGCGAAAATTTTGAAACCCTTATGTATATTTACCTCATTATATATTTCTTACCCCACCCCCACATGATCCTATATCCATCACCAATCGTATACACATCGAATTGTGCTAATTTACTACAAAGTTACGCAAAGCAGCATCTACTATCTAAAATATGTACTGCGTGACTCTTAATACGTCCCTGCCGAATGTTACAGCGTTCGATGATCACGTGGTCTTGTTTATGTCCGGTCTATCTCTTATCTGAATATACTGTAGAATACCTAATAATTTTCATCAATATAGTCAGATTCATCTCCGTGGTGATTTGGTATCCTATTCGTAGTCCATTTACGCTCCGGCACAACAAAATGCAGCGCGGCAAAGCGGCAGCCGCCTAAGCGTTGCAATAGCTGTTGGCCATTCCATAGAACTACAAACAAGTGCAAGATTCGACAGGATAGAACTCAGGCTCGGGAAATAGCCGGCACGCCGACCCCGACAGTTGCTGTTCCTATTTGGTTCATACATAGCGTGTGTTTATACGTTAGTATGTCGTCTAGGATACAGCAGATGGAACTGAGAATATTTCTTCCAATGCTTCTTTCAGCCATGCTTCTTCTTCAGTCATGTCTCCTCAATGAAAACGTAACAAGAAGGGACATTTGAATATTCAGGCAAAATAAATTGTGCTTATCGTTTATAAGAGCAAAATTTTAGAGCATCTTGAAATAAAAATCCATGATATTGAAAGATGTGTGGCGAAAAAAACAGGCTTATGTCCTAAGATAATTTTCAACATTGTTAAAGAATATAAAAAAACAAATAATTGCCCCCACCACACAAGAGGCTGCATTACACGAAGCTGTTGGATACAGTTGATAACTGTGATCGGAATGAAATCAGACGTAAAGTCCATCAATTTTTTTAAAGGTAGGAATTTCCCACCATAGACAAAGTATTACAGGAGGTTAATAGTGATGAAGACTTACCTACTTTCAAAAGGACCACATTCTATAGTTTACTCAAAGAACTTCATTTTGAATATAGAAAACGGGACAGAAATAGTATTTTGATGCTCAGCCAAGATATTATTTTATGGAGAAGAAATTATTTAAAATCAATAAAGAAATACCGCGACCAGGATAGGAAGATTTATTACTTGGATGAAACCTGGATAAATGCAGGTCATACAAAACCTAAAGTATTTGTGTTGTAAAAATGGTGTCAAGCAGATTGAATCTATAAGCCCACGCTGCAAACTAAGCTACACTAAATTTAACTTTATCGGGTAGATTTGGAACCAACACCTGTTTGATACTCTGCTTATATTATTATTAGTTTTCTTGAATACTATATGAAATGATTATTTCCAGGTCCATTCGGACGATGATTCAAGTACTCCCAGCGTATAAAGAATTGTGAAAAGTATGTGCACTTCTTTATATAAAAATAATCATTTATTTTGTTAGATTATTCCAAGACCATTGAAGAAAATACGGACCTGTACAACCTCGCTTTTGTGTTTTGTCTGGACGTAAATGGACTACGAATGGGGTATAGATAAAATTCGATCCAAGCCGCTAGGTTAATAAACACTCCGCAATCATTTTGGATGTTTGGTTGCCTAACGTTAAACATATCTTAACTTATGTTTCTGAGTATCCCAGAGAATAGCGCAACACAGATAACAAGCTATAATAATATATTACATACTTATAAGTTGGGAATCGAGTCACTATTGGGTACAAACAGAGAGACACAAAATCTTTTTTTACTATTTTGATCACTTATCAGTAATTTGAATTTCTCTTTATTGATTATAGAGTGCCCATTCATATGCCAAACCCTTTTTAATGATTTTATTTTGGTAAATTTCATAGCTCATTGATTGTAGAATTTCACACGTATATCTGTCATTCTCAGCGACTCAGTATTGTGTTGAAATCATTTGGACACTAATGTTAAGTATTATTAACGATCTTAGAAATTTCTTCATAAAATATTGTTGGTCCCTCGTAGACAGATTTGTTTCTGCCTACAGTCTGCCCATAGGCCACCTTGTGATGCCTACACGTATTAGCCGTATATCAATGTATACTTTCCTATCAAGATACCTTCTGTTAAACTTGATTTACTATATACCTTCTTTTGAAATGTGATTTACTATCAATAGTCCTTCTTTTAATTACGTACCGACGCGTCCAGTGCCATTTTACTTTTGCTTTTCCGCTGTGATTTTGGTTGTGTGTGGGCGTTTTTATTTTTTGTTAACTTCCAGATTTTAGGATATTAAGGCCCCAAACAGCAGATTAGTGTACCCTTTTAGTTTGTACCTTGCGTTCAGTTGTGTTGGTTTGGGTACTACCCGTCCGTTTTGTAATGGGATTTTAACCTCAAGAGTGGCACGCCATTCTGGAGAACCACCATTCACACTCCTCCAGCTTTGTTTTGTAGCTGCCTTGTAGCTGTTTTGCAGCCGATTTTGTTGAAAGCCATCCCCTCCCTTTGACAAAAAACCCTGATGTGAACAGGTGAAATATCATTTTAATTGAGTATTTTATACATATTAATATATTGATTGCTGCTTGAAATTCATAGAGTTCTTGATTTTATTTGGCATTTTATGTATTCAAATATCGGGTAGTGTCTACATGTCACTGTCTTTTGGGCTGATTTCATTAGATTAATCATGATTTTGAATTATGATATCATAATTTATTTTAGAACAAGGGATACATTTCTGAGGGTGTATCACTTTTGTAAATTTTTGTCTTTTATTGAACTTGCAGAAAAAAAGTAGTTTTCTTGTAAAAGAGAATGTACATGGATTTTTCTTCAAGTTTTGAGCATTTGAAATGTGTAGTTCTGTCTTAGACAGAGAATTGAGAGTAGATTTTCACGCAGTATGTCTCTCTCTAGAGTTTTTTATACCGTAAATTTTGAAAACGAGGCAAGCAGCCCCTATCTTGTGACGTTTCTCACGTCACTGCTCACTACTGGCCACTGATTTTTGACCTGAGTTTTACACATAAAAAACTGCCAAGCATTAGTTGAGACCATGCCGGCAAGAATTCAGGTGGTACTTAAGGCAAAAGGCGAAGTTATTAGTCAAGTTAAATTTTGTAGGGTCCGTATATTTAGTTTTCATATATTTTTGTAAAGTTTAGTTTGTTTTTCTTTGTAAAATTTATTATCAAGGAAAACAGATGATACTATTGAAAATAGGCCACAATTTGTATATACTACCAATAAAAGTTTTTGGTACAAGTTTACAATCTTCTTCAGTTATTTTATAGGACAATTTGGACAAAATGTAAAAGGTGTCCGAATATTTAGTTGTTTGGTCTCGTAGATCTGTTTAACTGTTATTTCGTAAATTTCGTGGAGCACATTTGAAAAAATATGACCTTTATTCCGTGAGCCTTCAAAAGAAACATATCTATCAACGCATCAGGTGATACAAAAACACCTTATAATGGTTACCGTGCTCCCTCAATAAAGGGACTGATGCTTACTAGGAAACAAGATTGCAAGTGATGACTGTTATGTGGAGCAGAAGTTGCGCAAAAGGAATGATAAAAATATAATACAAATATATTCTTCCTGATCATAAATATTATGAAATGTTTTCTCTTTCTTTGAATCCCTTTTCACATACTACTACTTGACAGTCGAAATTGTGTCCACCTAATTTTAAGACATGGGCAACAAATTACACGTTGTTGCAGGAATAACCGGAAATAATTATTTGTATTTGTATAACTTACTGACGAACGACCTTTGTTTTGAGAGACATTTACAAGTACAGAGATCTTGCTTAAACCGAAAAATGTTAGTTTTAAAGATTTTGATTGATAGCAAAGACCCTTTTATAATAGTAATATTACTATGGAGATTTCCCTAGGTTCAGTTGAAACAGTGCAAAAAATATTTCATATTTTATAAAAAAATACCTTTATTGCATATAGTCATATTGTACATGTTTATAAATACATTAACACAACGAAGTGTATTAAATCCATAATCACAGCTTTTCGCACAATCCCAATGACCTCTGGGATAAGATCTCAAGTATACCTACATACGTCTGGAATAAAATCTCATATATACCTACATACGCCTATTTTAATGTTCTGCTTATATGTACAAATGACTACTTCTCATTATCACATTTGTCATATGATGTTTAATTGAAACGTTCATATGAAAATATACCTATATACTGCAGTGTGTTTCAAAAAGCGCCCCTCTCCAGTACTCATTCTTGTGAATGGGACAAGTTAGCAAGATAAAATTCATGCATAGGTACCGTATATTATCAACATATATGTAAGTAGCAGAGTTTCAAGATGACCGCTGGACGCCATATTGGAAGATTTTTTTAAATGCAATGGCAGTCACGTCATTTTGAAGCTCCTCATGAGTACGTTTGATCCTAGAATCATGGATACTATCTACCAGGAGAAACGGTAGTGCTGTTTTTGGTGTAAAAACGTCTCCGAAACTTGAGCCTGGAGCACATGATAGGGTTGCCATGGTTAGTAATTCTCTCCCAAATTTGGGGAATTTTCATTTTTTGAGATATAATGTTCTGGGTAAATCACATGTTTCGCGGATAGAAGGCATCTCCCCGCTCCTTGAACCAAACCTGCCCCATTCCATTAATTAACTGTGATTTGGGGGATTTTTTGAAAAAAGTTAGTTATTCTGAGAGATTTTTGCGCTTGTTCTGGCGGAATTCTGTCCAACCCATCTGGCAGCGCTGTGCTCTGACCGACACTTTCCTGATAGTCTAAGATGCGGCCGCTTGAATCTGAACTTGATTTTTATGAATGATAATAGAATATATTGCCAGGCAACCCAGCAAAGGCAAACCTACTCTAATCTGTTCTATTATTATTTATGCGCAGCAGGTGGTACTCGCTTTGATATCTGCGCCCTCAGTCAGGCATCAAGTTTTGATGTTGGTTTTCCTCATTTCAGGGGTTCTCCAGGTATATAGGCTTCATGCCTTGAATATATAGTTGCTATTTCTTAAAGTGGTAGACTGATAGGCCATCAAAGTTGATTATTTTTGTACAGTGAGTGGCTCATAACTATGATATATCAATCTTCATCTCTAGGAAGGATCTATTCTAATATATAATAAAATATAGAATATTCCACTTAAAAAATGCTTAAAACCCTGTCAGTAACGAGCATTACAATAGGGTATCATCACTCACACCCTATTCCACTTAAAAAAATATCTCAAGATGGAGCCCAACCGCTATATTGAAATTTTCGATTTATGCATAAACGTCATCATCCCGAATTTCAGCTTGCTAACTCAAGAATAAGTAGGAGGAAGAACTTTCTGAAAAGCACTGTATATGTGTTCGTACAAAAAAATTAGATACACTATTACCGGTCGCGACTAATATAATTGCTTCACTCAATACCTTGAGCCGTACAAAAATGTGAACCCATTTTGAAATTCCAAAACTCGGGCTTTGGTGCCAATCGCCTAAGTGCGTTTGACGTTCTGTAACTTGAGCAAGAGCCACATTCTTTATGTTTCTTTATTTTCAAGAATTTTACCTAAGTACTTTGAACAATAGAAATTTAAAAAATTCATGAGCGAGGAATCTACAACCTCATATTGACGCATTCTCCGTTAAAATAGGCTTTCGCCAATTAGTATCAACAACTTTGCCTTTTCAACTTCCACCGAAAGACGTTAATAAATATCTGGTCTGAAATGACGATTTATCATACAAAAGTCGAGCAATCATTCAGGAGTGTCTGGCAAAAACCTAAATAACTTATACCCAGGTCCTTATAGTTTTTTATAGCTCATAATATTTGTTGCAGTGCTAGTCGTCATACTTGGCTGTAGCTTATATTACTCAAACATGTGCATCATTCTGTTTTACACAAATTAACCAATCGCTTCTTTAGTTGTGACTGACGACACTGATCATTGATATTTTCCTTTGCAACATTTTCTGTATTTCAATTAACGTCTTCCCTCTGGTTTCTGGTACATACACTACAACGAACACTGCACACAAAAGACAACTACCTGAGAAAAACAAAAAAGTACCAGCGTTGCCAAGTAAGTTTGTCATATCTCGGAAAAATTTGGTTACCACAAAAGAGCCTACCCAACAGGTGATAGAAACAAATGAGGCAGCAATATGCTTAGTATCTTTGGAGAACAATTCTGAAGATATCGTCCAAGGCAGGACAGAAAACCCAATTTGATAGGTTAAGATCACGAGTATCAAGCTGGCTAATGGCATCCACATAATATTTTCAACGTTCATGTTGTTATCAAGAGCATAGAAAAATGCGCCCAACATACCAAGTGGTAATGCCATTCCCACTATTGAAACAAGACTTACTGCGTTTCTGCTGTAAAAGCTGACCAACGCTGGAGTTAGAAAACTTGTTATGAAAATAACTGCTCCAGCAATAAGAGATGAAATATCAGAAGGTAAGGATGAACCAGATGCTTTGAATATAGGTTCCAAGTAAAACGTTATAGCATTCATTCCAGAAAATTGCTGAAACGTGATAAACGCAAGAGCGATGAATAAAGCTTTCCTCTGGCCGGGGTTTAGGAGTATGTCTTTGAAATGACCTACCTCGTTCTTATTACATCCTTCTTTAATTTGCATTAGTTCCTTTTGTACGCCTTCTTTACTTTTAGACCTGAGTAACATCAAAACTTTTTCAGCTTTTCCAGTGTCTCCTTTACCAACTAAGTAGTGCGGTGTTTCGACGCCAAACATTAAAAATACTATGAAAAAAGTAACAGGAAAACAAGCAAGTACAACGTTGAACCACATAACTGACAAAAACGGTCCTATAAGGTATGGCAAAAAATTACCAAAGCCCCAAAATATACCTAAAAACACAGAGTAAAACCCTCGTTTCATTTCATCTGACACTTCAGCTATATACATAGGCAGTAGTGTATAACCTCCACCTACTGCTATGCCGCCCAATATCCTCCCGAAGTAAAACAGGTACACCTCCTTAGCGAAGGCCATGGTGAGGTATGATACTACGTGAGGTATCGCTATACAGAGTAGGCCGATTTTTCTCCCAAAACGCTCCCCAATGAAACCAAAAGGTAAGGGTCCTACTATTGCTCCCACGTTTATCAGGGATCCGATCCAACTGTCTTCATCTTCTGTGATACTTCGGCCCAGCGGGTTGATAGATGTGTCGTTGGAGTAGAGTTTTGGATACATGGGTGACGTCCAGGACATGGTTATGTCTCCTGATGTAGCTAGGATGCAAACTAGAAAAAGCAAAATGAATTCAATCATATTGGCTTCGAAATTTCAATTACACCCTGTTTCACGAGTATCCATCACGGAACAATGACAGCTAGTTATCTAGTAATATTTCGATATTCCCCATATAGCGCACAGGGCACATACTTCTGACGGATCCGTCAACGTCAGGTAACCTGAGCTGTATTTTGTATTGGTTTTTTATACTCCACAGATTCATTTTGTTTTTGCTAACAGCTCTTTTATTTAGAAAAGTTCATTTATATGCAAAAACAAAACGCTACAAATAAGTTTCACTAGATTTACACGCGATTCACTATTGCCAACGTCGCAGACTAACACGAAAATGACACTTGCTGATCAGCTGTTCACATCAGAAGACTTTGAAGCGTGATGGATACTCGTGAACTAGAGGGTAGTTCCTATTAGCATTAATTTAGGGTTACAATGTTAGGTTATGTCTAAGTTGAAGTTATTGAATTAGTTCATTTCATTAGTAGATAATATGAAAAGTGCGCCACCGTAAAAATGCCCTAATTAGTCTTTTTCACAATCCCCTTCGTGAAATTTACTAATTAAGATTTCATTCTGAAGAAAAAAGATCTATACTGAGTTTTCAGTAAATTTGACCGCTTTAGTTTCAATAATACACAATGGCCATTATAAGGGTGTTAAAACGTGAATGAAAACTTATTCTAGAAGTCCCCGAGTGTCTGAATCAAAGTTCTAGTTGACAAACTTGGACTTAGTTTGAGCCGAATTAAGACAGCGCAAAGCACTATCTAGCACCAGAATCGACCGCTACGGAGGACACATAGCTGCTATTTATTGGAACTGTGAAGATCTCAGTTGGTTTAATAGCCCAATCACCACTTGACCGATAGATGGCTGAATCTTATATTGATAGACCGTACCTCCGGAATAGAGGATAGTTGCGATTCTTAAGTTCGTTGTCTCAGAGACGAGAGACCAAGCCTAGATCATGCTGATGAGTAGCCAAGAAGCACGAAACAGCTGTCCATGGTTCGCTGTCTTTTGGTCGGACGAACGAAAGCGTCATGTTCAGTTTATTCAATGGCAAGTAGATCACATCTACTATACAGACAGAATCGTCAGCCATCTAGCAGTCTCATGAAAGTTCCAATAAATAGCAGCTTTGCGCTCCCGCAGTGGTCGATTCTGGTGATAGATGACGCTTTGACCAAGCCTAGACCATGCTGACGAGTAGAAGCGCGAAACAGCTGTCCATGGTTGGCTGTATTTTGGCCAAACGGATGATAGGCATCATGTTTAGTTTGAGTCCTTTCATTTATATTATTACGCACATTAAATATGACGAACCAATACATCGAATAAAAACAATATTTTTCCGATTAAATCAGATTATCTCGAATGTATCTGGTATCTTTTTTCGTTCACAGTAAGAAAAAATACTGACCGAAACAGTGAAAATGATTTCGAGTGATTTGTTCAAATTTCAAATGAATTGGCTCAGCGCTTGCACGCATTCATATAACCCTGTTTATTTTAATCTATCGTTTGATTACAAGAGGAATGAAGTGCCTACTGATATACTCATTACCCTATCTAAACAGTAGGTAAACTTGATTGATAGGTACTTTACGGTTTCCAGAATGAATTGTTCTACGTATAATAAATATTTCGGTTGAAAAATGAATATGATACACTTTTTTGAATAATTTACTATGTCTACGTCATGAGAATTCATCACCGTCTACTTCCAGTAAGGACTACGCCATTTTTACTTCCTACGCCACTCCGCGATGAAAAAATTTCGAAAATGAGATATTACGGTTTTTGGATGCTATATGACATGTACATCACGAAAAGCCGTGCCACTCATTTCCGTCTATCTGTCTGTGGATGCGTCTGTCTGTCTGCTAATCCTTGGACCGCCTATAACTTTGGCAGTACCTCTACGATTTTGATGAAACTTTCACACTATGCCAAGGACGAAAAACTTTCTACTTTCTGAAAATCGGTCCAGTGGCGGCCAAGCTCGGGGCAAGAACACGAAAAAATAAATCGCTCATATTTCGTTTTTTACGATTCAGAGGCTCCTGATCATTTTCAGAAAAAAATTTGTTTAAGGCCAAATTCGGGGTTGGGGGTTGTAGGGTGTGATGGAGGGTATTTGAGATTTTTTTGATGCTAATATATATTTTTAACCTGATTTATACGCTCCCAACCCCGGTAATTCCAAGCACCTATTAGCTATATTTCACACATCATAGACTCCACCGTACATTTGCCTTCAAACTTAGAGCGATAGAGACAGTCATGTTTGATACCACTATGCGAAAAGCGAGAATATCGCCACTAAATACCTAAGATCCTTAAAAAAATTAAAATTACCAGCAATCACGTTGACCAAGGTGTAGCTGACGGTGAACTTCATACTAAAAATGTTAACACCACTATTGTTTATTGATTTTCTCAACACATATGAACAGTTTGAGGCAATGTGTTCTATTAAATTCGTGTCGCTAGAGTAAATAGACATTTATTTAATGGTGTACTAATCAGAATGAGATTATCTCACCATGGAATCACAGTATCATTATTCAAAAGCAAATGCAAAAATTCTCCGTACTCATATCGGCCAGTTGATAAAGAGATAAAGTTCGTATCCAGAAAGATTTGTAATCTGTTGTCTTATACGGTACGACATTCAATTTAAAGAAGACTAAAGAACTATTAATAATCAATTCAACTCGTTTCCCCTATCAGTTTGTCAAATGTTACTGCAAGACAGGATCTCTATTTTTCATCAGTGCAATTGCCCCTCAGACTGTAACCTCTTACTAATCTTTAGGCACAGTAGCTTGCCAGTTTAAAATAAAGCAAGTCACTTGACAATAAAAGCGATCAAATGTTTTGATATTAACTACTAACCGATGTTGGAGCTGGTGAGATTATGTAAGATAAGGATGACTGTAGATGGACTAAAAGGTTCGTATCTGGCCTCTACAGAAGATAACATAAAAGACATGATGCAGTTTGACTTTTGTGTGTGTGGACTTATACAGGGTGCGGCAGAGAGGATGGACGGTTTTAAAAAAATCATAAAATAGTTAATTTTTACTCGAAAACAAATTTATTGATGGAATCAGGTTCACAAGGAAATAGCATTTGAGACAGTCAAGTGTGGAAAATCACATCAGGCATGTGGTGGCCGAAATCGTTGATGCAGTGCTGGAGGCGTTCTTGGAAGTTCGCGTAGACTCTCTCCAACATCGCTCTCTCAACTTGGGCGACTTCCACGCGAATTTCGCCCTTCAATTCGTCCAGAGTTCGGGGTTTGTTCGCGTATACTCTAGCCTTGAGGTGTCCCCATAAGAAAAAATCGCATATGGATAAATCTGGGGACCGAGAAGGCCAATGAACATCGCCAAACCTGGAAATAAGGCGACCAAGGAAGAGAGGGCGAATAACGTCCATGGATGCTCGAGCTGTGTGGGCGGTCGCCCTATCCTGCTGGAACCACACACGTCGGATTGGAACACGTCGCCGACGTAATTCAGGGAGAAAGAAGTTGGTGATCATGTCGACGTAGCGCTCTGAGTTCACGGTAACATCACGACCATTACCGTCTTCGAAGAAGTAAGGGCCAATGATGCAAGTTTGCGATACAGCGCACCAAACCGTTACTTTTCGGCTGTGCAGCGGTCTTTCGTGTAACTGTTGCGGATTTTCATTAGCCCAATAACGACAATTCTGCTGGTTAACCATGCTGTTTAGGTGAAAGTGGGCTTCGTCACTCATAAACAAGATGAGGTTCTCATTTTGATCGATCAGTGCTTCCATCTCACATGCGAAGTTCATTCGTTGTGCATAATCTCCGGGCTGTAACTGTTGCACAATGGCCAATTTGTAGGGGTGAAAGCGGAGATCCATATGCAAAATTCGCCTTACCGAACGATCACCAAGACGAAGTGCAGCAGCATGTTTCCGGGCAGATCGAGTCGGACTGCGAAGAAAGACCTGTCGAACGCGTTCAACATTTTCAGGAGTTCGAACTGTTCGCGGCGCTCCTCTTGGTCTTCTGTTGATCAGTTCACCACGCCTGCGAAGTGATTCAACCCAACGAAGGATGTTGTTTCGAGAGGGAACAGCTCTATTCGATGAATGTTGAAGTGGCGACGAAACTCACGCTGTACGACGATGACTGACTCATTATTTCGGACGAAACAATCATACGCGAAAACGCGGTGCTCCACCATCCAAGGCTCCATAACGACAACTGGTAAAAATCTCACGAGTCAAACGGCACCCTCCCCACCTCTCTCGTAGACGGTGGCGGAGAGTACTACCCATCCCAAAAACATCCGTCCTCTCTGCCGCACCCGTTATAAGCCTTTAGCCACCTCTTTACCGCATTTGCATATAATTTTCCTGCGAGACAGGGAATCGTTTCATAAGACCACGTGCCAAGGTTTACATTTTGCGCTCATTGAAAAGCATTTTTCTTTTGAAGACAGGTAAATCTGTGCAGACTAATAAATAATCTTAAAAATTGCTTCACCAGGGTTACAACGGTGTCTGTCTTCCATATAAATAAAATATATTGCCAGTCATTGTACTGAAGAAGGTCAACGTTGTTGTCAAAACGTTTACAATAAAGAAGATTTTTTCAACACATGTGGTTTCAATTGGTCTGAGAAATGTGGGGAGTATTAACATAAAAACCACAGAATAATTTTCAAATGTTTCACTACAATTTTTTTCAAAATGTGCTTATTGAGTGAAAATAATGACCTTAGATATCTAACCGATTACAAAAATTTGTGGGCCCGTATACGAATATCTATGTGGACATAACAAAACAACACCATATTATTTGCATATGATTTTAAATCAAATACTAGAGTCAATCAGGTTCGTGTGCCTTGATGGGGAAGATGTATTTTCCAGTTTATGGCATGGTGATCGTCTCTGTAGATGTTCAGCTAGGATCATTGCCCAATGTCTAGTAATTTATATAAGGTATCTCGTAAACGAGAGAACATTATCTAAGGTATGCTTTCCTACTATTCAGCCATAATACATATTTTAGGTGTCTTAAGATTACCTGAATTCCATTCTAAATCTAAATGTCAAATTGCCGCAGATGCTGTGTACTTATTACATACTACTGAAATTTATTGCCTAATTCTATGAGTCTACAATTTTCCTTGCAGAATTATCGAATAGATTACCAAGCTAGTCAGTTATTTGATATACATGGTGGTTAGCATTATTTATCTGGTGTTATTAGTCACTACTTTTACACGATACAAAGTAAAAATAGTGAACTCGTGTGAATTAGAACAACCTCTTACACGCGGTAATTGATACATACTATTAAGTGGTTTGAAAAAATGAGCTGCTATTTTCGCAGTTGTGTTGTGAATGTGCAACTCTCTAGAGCTCTAGAGACAAGATCATTTCGTATACTGCTAGACCATTGCTTGTCTGATATTATGTTAGCCATCATTTCGGTTGTATTTAAGCTAATGCAGAATAATCTGTCTGTGGAGGCACAATCTGGATACCTTAGGGACAAGAGAGCGGTCGTGCTGGCCAAATCTGGATTCACGATGTTCAATACGGTTAGGTCAAGAGGCCGATCTCAAGTCGGTTTATCTGGCACGCTTAACGCGTGGCAGCGTCTTGGAGGAGAATTCTGAGGACAGGTTGAACAAACAGCGAGCTCTCCAGGATATATGCAAGGGAATGTTAAAATACTTCAGCTCTTGAAAGCTTCCCTGCAGTCGTCTCTGTAACCAGTACCAGAAATGCCTCAAATATCAAATGGCTTTTCTCTGGAGTCCAAACAGACGGTGTGTGTCTCCATACCAACAAGGCATAAGTTAGGTGGGAATGGAATACCGCAAAATGAGCTGCTCTCAGTCCACTTTCCGAAAAGCAGTGTTTCAGATTTAATAACAAAAAAAAAATGCACTTCATATTTTCGCAGATACATCAATGTAGACATACCATTTTAATCCAGCATCAAGGTGTACTCCAAGAAACTTGATCGTACTGACACTGTTGGATGAATCAATATGTATAGTTGAAAAAGTAATCTACACTGTTTTTTCTTTATTCAACAACAGCTTATTTGCGGTAAGCCACTCGTCAGCCTAACGGCGCACCACCTGTTGGATTTCTCAGAAGTAATAGTTGTATCATCCGCAAAAAGCGAGTATCTATAATTTGCGTCTATAAGTGAAAGGCCATTTATTTATATCAGAAAGAGAATGAGGCCTAAAACTGACACATGAAGGCGCCATACTTTTTGCTGATGATACTCCAGCATTTGTGATCTGTCTTGGAGGAACGATTTCAGGAAATGGATGCGGGCCTCACTGATACTGTATGCTTCGAATTTCCCAAGTATCAAATAATGGTCAATAGAGTCATGCGCTTTGGCCAGGACTGTACTGTAATTGTGGAAACCTTTTAATATTTCAGACACTAGGTTGAATATTCCCATCGCGGTGTTCCGATTTTCCTGAAACCATTGTGAAAGTCGCTGAAAAAGTTTGAAGGTGTTTCAAGAACCTCAGTCAATTGATTTATCATATACGTATTTCTCTAAGATCTAAGTCAAGATGAATGATAAATTAGTGTGTGAGCATGAATATTTGGGTACAGTATTGTTGGACAATTCTTCTTTGATAAAGACCTTACAGATATATAGATTTTCTAAATACCCAGCTATCCAAACTATTTGAGAGTTTGCCTCTCTCCTAAATTAGAACCATGTACTCGTATTTTCAACAGGATGGGGTACCTCCACACCGGTCTCGCCGTAGAAAAAATAAGCTTAATAGCAATTTTAATCAAAACAAAGGCAAGATCTTATCTTGGGTAGAGTTAAAGATTCTTTTCGACGTAGATTTCAAACCTGCATCCAACAAACAAATTATAATTATTGCACAATTTATGTTGTTGTTTTAGTTGGTAACTACAGTTCATCTACGCGTTTTAGAAAAATAAATCATATTTCATACTTTGAACGTTTAGTAATTTTCCACAACCTACTAGTACTGAAAACTGAAAAATCAACCAAATTAACCTAAATCTAATCTGAAATTAATACAATAAAACGGTCAGATATAGATGAAAACAATTCGATATTGTTAAGAAAGGTGATCAATTGACATTCGATGATGAGAAAAGTAGGCAGTTTCTTTAGAAAAAATCAAGTTACCTTGAATTAAAGTTTTAGAAATAGACGTAAAAGATTCTTCGGTTATAAAAAGATTTGAACTTTGGTCATCTGGATCAAGATAGTGCATTTCATGGTCAATGACACATCTAAGACACAGCCTCCTAAGTTTTATGACGACCGTGACTTTCAATTGTTTTCTTACCTCTAATTTTTGGAAAATGGTGGTTGGTTTTAGATACCAAGTGTAGGGGAGACTAGGGAGGCTTGAGTCAAAAAATGAATTTCATTCCTTAAACATTACGAGTATACAATTTGTAATTTAAAGATTACATTTAGGGCAAGAGAATTGTGTGCGATTTAGCTAAACTTGCCATACCCTTTCATGCTTCCAAAATATTAATCAAATTGTTTAAATGTATTTCAACCAAAT